GATCACCGAAGGGGAACGATTCTATCTGCGTGTGTTGCTAAACCATAAACATTCTCGTGGGGTACGCTCTTTTGCCGAAATTCGTACGTTGGACGGAGTCGAATACGATTCGTTCCGATCTGTGTGTCTTCGATTAGGTCTTTTGCAAACAAACGATGCATACAATCAATGCATAGACACAGCCGCTGCACATTACATGTCTGAAGAAGTTCGTAAAATATTTGTTATGATTCTTGCGTTTGGTCCGGGGAACAATCCGGTCCGTTTCTTCGAACGACATTGGAATAAAATGTGTGACGATTTTCAGCATCGTGCAGGCAATGAAATTGTTCCGCCGAACATTTTGCAATCCTTAGTGTTGTTCCATCTTGACCGTATTTTGCAAGAGTCTGAAAAAAACATCCGTCAGTTCTGCCTTTATTATCCAACACCCGACGGGGAAACGATTATTAAGAACATAACAAGACATTACGAGAACAGAACTGTATCCTCAATTCTAAACGACGAGTTGTCGTATGATCCGATTCAAATGCAACGCAAATATGAGTCCAATTTTCGACGTCTTCGTCCACGTCAACGAGTGTTGGTGGAAAAAGTCGTTCAGGCTGTGCAAGAGAAAAGATCGTTGTGTGCTTTTGGCGATGCACCGGCTGGAACAGGGAATACTTTTTACATTGAAACGATTGCGCGGACATCAGGTCGCGTTCTGCCATTGCACTGACCGTCGCGTCCAGTAACATAGCGGCGGCTCTTTCGACGGGGGGTCGAACGTTTCACTCACGATTTCGCACTAGTGCCGTACCACCGATTATCGTTCACGGGGTCTGTGGACGGAGAACGGTCATGGAGTTCACCCCGTTCACGACACGGGAGTTCACGGGGTTCACGGAGAGCGTTTTTTTGGTTGGGAGGATATCGGAGGGTAACTTCCCTATATTTTTTTCAATTTTTTTTTTCACGAATAATATATTTTTTTTATTAAAAATGAAAAACAAACAAATCAACCAGCCAAAATAAGCATTTTCGTTTGCTATTTTGTAGGTCATTCCGATGTTTTTTTATTTTTTCAATGTCATGACGCTGTGGGGCTTAGGGCGAATGTACCTGAAGGAGACAAAAAAAAAAAAAAAAAAAAACACCACTGTTTACTGGTCGGCCCGTTGACCGTGAACAGCCGTTCACAAAAAAAAACACCAAATGAACGGGCGGTCATGTTCATGTGACCTGTTCCGGTAACGGTCACGGGTACGACACTGTTTCGCACACCTTTAAAACCTGATAACACGCGTCCCTTCTTGATTGCGAAACAAAGTGATCTTGTACAGCTTATCCGTTGTGCCGACTTGATTGTTTGGGACGAGGCTCCGATGAGTAACAAGTTTCACTTCGAAGCTCTTGACATCATGCTTCGGGACCTCTATAACAATGACGAACCGTTTGGTGGGAAATTTTTACTTCTAGCTGGGGATTTTAGACAAGTTTTGCCCGTTGTGAAACACGGATCTCGAGCGCAACAAATGCATGCGTCCATGAAAATGTCTCCTTTGTAGAAACTTTTTAAGGTTCATCAAGTAACCGAAAATATGCGAATCTTAAGCTTAGGGAATGATGAAATGACACAAATATATGCCCATTTTTTAATGCGTATTGGGAATGGTGACCATCCTCGTGTTGTTCCTAATGAACATGTTGCGGTCGGATTGTCATGTGAGATTTGTACGGATAAACCAATTGATGAGTTGATTTCATGGACATTTGATGATGTGTCCAACCATGTGGAGGATGCCAAATATTTCTTGCCTCGATTAATTTTATGCCCTACTAATGACGATGTCGGTTCTGTTAACAACCGTGTTCTTGATGACTTCCCTGGGGAGGTACGTGACCTTTTCAGCGTTGATTATCCTGATTTGGATGATACCGGGCTTGGTATTGAGCGAGAGTTCTTAAACTCTCTCGACGAATCTGACCTTCCACCTCACAAACTGCGTTTAAAAATTGGTGCGCCTGTGATGCTTTTGCGAAATTTGTCACCGAAGCAAGGACTTTGCAACGGTACAAGGATGATTCTGAAAAAAATCGTTAATGATGATTTCTTGGAAGTGACAATAATGCACATGGGTAAAACAACATTGATCCCCAAGATTGATCAGACAAGCGATGGTGAGACAACGGGGTTCAAATGGTTTAGGAGGCAATTTTCAATCCATTTTGCTTTTGTTGTAACGATTGACAAGTCGCAAGGACAAACTGTATTGTGTGTCGGGGTTTGGCTACACAAACCGGTTTTTGCGCATGACCAACTGTATGTTGTTTTTTCACGTGTTGGCTATCCCAATAACATTCATGTTGCGTTGCATGATAAGAATTGTTTAACGAAGAACATTGTATATCATGAACTTTTGGGATGAGTCTTTTTTTTTTCCATCGAATCTTGGCATTCCAAATAATTTTGTCATATTCTTCTTTGCAGTCGACTCCAGAATGCCGCATAAGTACGATACTCGTGCTAAGAGGAAAGTAATGAGAAACAACAATACCACTCAATATAATACGAATGTTACGTCAAAACCTAGAGGTGAACATTCGGAGAGGTCGAGGAAAAGTGGAAACGATGAGAGGTCGGTGAATCTTGGAAGTGAACATCCTCGGAACGATTATTATGTTCTTGGTGAGGTTCAACGTCGATGTTCGCGAGGGAATACCTTTGATGATGCTGAGAACATGGTTGTGGAGGTGGGTGGTGACGATTGTCATGCCGATGAGGATCGTTCGCGTAGACGTCACTCGAGTGGACCTCTTAACCTTACATTTGTCGATGATGAGGATGAAACCGTTAAGGCCGATTCGAAAGAAGACTGCGTTGTATCTACTTTCAAGAGGAAAAAGAATCGTGGTGCGAAAACAAATCTTTTGGATTCCCTCGAAGTGGCGGAACCTACCTTGGTTGATAATCGGGTGGAACGGCAACCTGTTGTTCATGAAACGAGAACTTAGATTGCAAGAGCGCTGAATGCATTGCCTGATGATGCACTTTTATCTCTTCTGTTTTGTGCACCGCTTGCTGGGCGTGCACGTGTTCATGATTCGAGGTCGCAATCTCAACGCAGTGGACGCGAAAGACATGTTTGCGCCACATCGCAACCACAAAATCCTTCGGGGATTATTGTGGTGCCCGGTGATAACGATGCACCCACAATTCGCACTCCGAATCCGCGCGGTTACCTTGCTAGATGGTTTGACGATGCGAAGAAGGTTCACATCCAAAATATCTTGACTGAGGTGCTTTTTGAAATGTTTGTTAAAAGTGCCACAGTCATGAAAGATGGATGAATATGGAAAAACTTTCTGGAGTGGAAAAGAAACAAACTCACTAATATACGGTTGGAACGACGATTCCCTCTTCCTTAAGACTCGTTGAATGTTTCGGATTTGAAGGCTTTTTCCATGTTGCAATCACTTTTGAACGATGAGTTCATCGCTCTGTCTAATGAGGAGATTACTAGGATGACATTTGATATGCCGCATTGTCTGACAGAAAAGACCATTCCTCAAGCCTTTCACAAATATGCACGGATAAAGCAGCTTCTCAAAAGGATTCCTCCCGTCGCTGCTTCTTTCACTCCTCATTCCGCTCCGGTTCGTAGACTCCCCCTTCAAGCAGCATCTCCTCCAAATTTTCAACATCTTGCAAAGTATGCTTCACCCTCCAATATGTCAACGCTGATTGTCACTACTTTTGTTGTTGTTTCTCCTTTGTTGGCCGCTACGGCTACTCTGTCTACTGTCAGTTGAGTTGTGTCCGCTCATACGCCCTCAAGAAACCATCTGCATGTCCATACAGGACCATTGGAACAACTAAGTTCTTCTAATTTTAACATTACCATGTACGACTCTGTTGAATCAATTGGTCCGAAAAAGACACTTGCACACCTGTCCTATCTTGACAGTTTTCACAGGGTGCAAGATATTGTGGAAGCAGCAGCGGAATTGAATACGAGTATTAACACTTAGAGATGTGTGGATGTTGTGATTCATGTCGTTACAATCGGCAAAGACAGACTCGATTCGGAACTTTCGAGGCTGCGTAGATCCCCGTACGAATACGGGCCGTACGTACATACGTACGGCCGTACGTACAGGCTCATATGGTAGTACGGGCTTTACGTACGAAAAAAAAAAAAAAAAATTCAAAAAAATATGAAAAACAAATATGTTATGCAGAAAAATAAAATCAAACACTTTTGCCTCAGGGTCATATTGAAACTCGTTACCAAATTTGAGATAAAAAAAAACGTTTTTTTTTTTTTTTYTTTTTGTTTCTTTTTTTCCGCACGGGGCTATACATACGGCCGAACGGCCGTTCGTACGGGGATGTCGATACGTAGCAGTATCGGCATTTCCGGGGATGTCGATACGTAGCAGCGCGGAGGCGGGTGAGTGGTGGAAGGGAACATCGGGGTATGAATGGTGGGAAACCCCCTGAAGGTGACTGCGTGGTGGCAGTCGAAACACGTCGGGGAACCAATTCTGATGAGTTTTAATTGAATATTTTGACTATTGGTGCGGACTTGTCTACGTTGAGCTTGTCATTTGACTTTATCTCCGTATGCGTGTACATCTTCTTGCATGTATCACTATTCATTATACCTATCGAAGTCACGTGTGAACTGTCTCGGACCAAGCTCGGATGAGTGAGCACGAGCCTATTACATAGGGTGAGTTCAGTTTTATTTTTGTTCGACTATCGTGGTCGAAGCGCTTGGTATTTCGGAGACCTCAAGCGTGGAGTGGACTTTCAGTTGCAAGGTTATTAAGTATAGTGAGCGATGAGCCAAGGGACAATCAAGGCGGATATAACAGTGGGGGAGGAGATCGCAATCGCGACCGGGAGCGTGAACGAGATCGTGGTCGGGAGAGAGAGCGTGAGCTTGACCGCGATCGCAATCGGGACCGCGACTCCGACTGGGAGTATGATCGGAACCGAGACCGGAGCCAGAGGCGTAGACCACCGAGATGTTTCAAGTGTCACAAGGTGGGCCACTATGCGAATCAGTGAAGTTGGTTGGATGCGCCGTCTACATCAAGCGATTCGTATAGAGGACGTTCGTCATCACCTAGGCGAGGCCAGATGAAGTCGTCTGCATCCGGCGAACCACGTATGTCGTCGGAGTTTGAGAAATTGGGACGCAATGTTGCTAGTTTACAGGAGTACGTTCAACTTGAACGATCGAAGCAGGACGAGAAGGAGGCCCAGAAGAAGGCTAAGAAATTAGCTAAGCAGAAACCGGAGGAAGAGAAGATTGAACGTGAGCAGCGTGTGGCCCGCAAGAAGGCCAAGGTGTGGAAAGCGGAAGAGAGGGAGTTGAAACTGGCCAAGAACGTGGATATGCAGCTATCGTTGAAGATCGGCGAACTACGTGACGAGATTCGGCAGGAACTACGAAGAGTTATGACCGGGAAAAGCAAGGCGAAGAACTCTTCTGGTGCGAGCGGGTGCAGATCCAATGGGGACATCGATGGGGGATCCGAGGACTTGAGTGCACGTACCAAGCAGCTAACCATCAACGAGAAGCGGAAGAGGGGTGCCGAGCCTGTTTTCGAAGACAGTCCGCCTATGGTCGTACCTTCGAAGCGTACACCGGGAAGGCGGTTAGGGATCAAACCAATTCGCCTGACACCTCGGTTGAAGTCGCGGACCCCGAAAGTGAAGTCTCGTAGTACGACGAAGCCCAAGAGCCGACAGGCATCTAATATGAAGATCCCGGCAGAGTGTGGGGAGCTGGGCCGCTTACGATATCTCGACGCGGTGCGGCGGGATCTGATTGATCTGGATGCAAAAACTATGGAGGCGTTGTGCAAGAACGAAGTGATTGAGTACCGTGGCAAGATTAATGTCATTTTCGATATTGCTGATCACAAGGCGGCGGTGGCATATGACTCTGTCCACGAATCGGAAGAGGTTGACAAGGCTCCGTCCAAGGAAGAAGCTAAGGCAGAAGGAGATATCATCGAAGGCACTGATGGTGATGCTGAGGAGACTAGCCAATATTAAGGATACGCGACTATGCGGCGTCAATGCGTTTATCTGTGTAACGTTCGGAAGCAGTTGGTAGCGATAGATCACACCGTTGAAGCTGTATTAAGATTGGTTGTTGTCAAATTGACTTTGCTGGGAGGACTTCGGTGGTGTCGAAAATTCGTTAAGTCTTGGGTTCGTCTCTTTGAGCGTTTTGGGATCTCCTTCTTGGAGAAACCAAATTGTGTATATGCATGTGTCTCTCCTTTCTGCAAGTCGCAGTATATCGGTACGACTACTCGCTCGGTCAACGTACGTTGACACGAGCATCTCTATGCATGCAAACAACGTAACCAGTCACATTTTTACCGATGGCTTGCTTGCTTTGGTGTTGAGAATTACGTACTGGTACCGATTGATATATCCAGCGCCCAGGAACTTGAGACTTTAGAAGCGTTCTACATTCGTCATTGGTCTCCTTTCCTTAACTCGACTGGTGCTCGTCGTGATAAACGGAAACGTAAGGTTTGCCCACCAGGAAGGAAGGAACGTAGTCGTAGGCAAGTATGGACGAGAGATGTGTGTGTTCGGGCACTTAATCCGATTAGTGTTCGAAGAGAGAACCAGGACACCGAAACCGTACGAATACACAAGGTGCTGGTCTCAACCTTTGAGAGTAAGGAAACGAGGTTCTGTCTGTGTTTTTCAGGTGGTAAAGCGTGGAGTCGTGGACTGATACTTGGCATCAGATAGTTAAGGATTTTGGGAAGTCGACAGTTGAACTTGGGGGTTACAATCAGAACCTGAGTGAGTGTAAGAATGCCTTTGAGAAAGAGGGAAAGTTTGTTTTCTTGTTTCTATGTAGGAATTTTGGTTTCCATACTACGTAGCCCGAAGATATTGGATATTGTCTAGGCTTGGCGTATCAATAATCTCCTGAAATTGTATAATGTGATGGAGGAATTTAGTTGGGAGTCTACTCGACGGTATTTGCGTCGTCTCTTGAGTCGGATTTTTAGGGTCAGACATGGTATTTGTATTGGCTCTGACCTGACTATTCGAATTGGGTTTGATGATAGGATTAAGCTATCTGAGGTTCGGAAGGTGATTAATGACCAACTTATGAATTGTGGACTCCCTTCTTGCTTTGCTAAGAGCTCGCGTCGGAATGTTCACATGGTGTTGACTAAAAATCGCACCGTGGGGGATATTCTGCACAATCAGAGGCTATTTGCCTCGAAAGATGTGCTAGCCTGCAACTGCTCAGGCCTGTCCGTTCCTAAGGAAAACGGACATGTGCGCTTTCGCCTTAGCAGTATAGAGGGGTTGCATCCTCTGCTTTGCAATGCGAAGAACATCCCGATCGAACGGATAGATGATAGATTGTTGAGTTTGACTAAGGAAATTCAAGATGGATTTGGTAGCTGGAGGAACTGTTATGAAACACCCACAATTCGAATTGAGGATGTGGAGCACTGCCTTGTCAGCGAGATGAATGTACCAGCAAAGGCTTTGTCGGTGTCTGAGGTGATGAAGGTAAAGAACTTTTTCGACGGTATGGTCATGACACCGCTTGACCGTGACCCCAGCGAAACCCTGGTTGTATGCCCACGGGTGTATTTCGAAGCAATGATGTGCACGTTTGTGCGCAATCCAGGATATGTTATTGTGGACCAGCCTGTTGAAGTAATCAAGCGGACTGTCTTGGAGGAGGTCAGACTCTTGGGGCTTGTTCGGTTTGCTAAGTGGGACAAGTTGGGCTCCTTCGGATCCTCTTATGTGCCGCCAAAGCACAAAGACTTGGACCGATACAGACCAATTTGTCCAACATATAGCGAGCCTATGGTGAAGACAGGGAAAGCCGTGTCTAAAACTTTGAATCATTTGTTGTTTTGCCTACCCAAGTCTTAGCACTTCAATCTCCCGGCAGTTTCGATGCTGGCTGAGCGTTTGAAATCGATCAACTCGAAGATTGACAAATTGGGGCCGGGTGCACGAATTGCAGTTTTTTCATACGACACTAAAGAGATGTTTAGTCATCTTCCACATGAATGCAGCCTTGAGGCTGTTAACTGGTTGATATCTATATACCAGCAGAAGGGTAAGGAATTTGTTCGTGTTAACACGCAAGGGAAAGGGGCAACCTTCGGTGATACCACTGATGGTGATCATTGGCGAAGGATTGAATTGACGGATGTCAGGAAGTTTGTGACTCTTGAGCTCAATCAAACGTATACGTACGCCACTCATGTACTGCTGCGACAAGGCATTGGGATCTCACAACAGAAACATTCCCACGAGAAATGAAAGTTGAAAGAACATTCTACACAAAAAAAAACCTTCATATTTATAAATTATCATTTCAATGTTCGTCCAATTCTAAAATTTTCAGTTTTATTTGATAAGTTCCCGTCTAAATATGAACTTTCCCTTCCAACTACATCTATTTGTTAAAGATGGAATGGAAGTCTGGACGAGTTTATGAAATATTTTAGTTAAATTTTTATTATACTGCAACAAATATCTTCTAGTTTAGATTGAATTAACTTATTTATGACTGAAAATTCTTACTTAGAATAACAGTCCAATTTAAATATTTCATGAACTCATCCAGACTTCCATTCCATCTCTAACATGCAGTCAAAATAAGAAGGGATACTATATTCTTGGAATAAAAGTTTGCAAGTAGGATGAAAATTTTTTAAATTGGAATGACCTTTCTTAAGATGAAATGAAAATTTGAAATTTAGATTGTAATCTTACTATAGAATGATTATTTAATTCTAGGAAATTTTTCCATTGCAATGGGCAAGCGCACTAGCCCCCCATTGGCATGCATCATGTGTGTGTTTTCTGAATTTCGTTTTTTGAGTAGTCTGGGTAGGAAAAATTGTTTGGTTTTTGGTACTCGACTAGTGGATGTTGTCTGTTTGTGTATCGCTCATACAACGAGATCTGTGACGGAAGTTGATCGTATTCGAGATAAGTTCGAGCATTGCTATCCTGATAACTTGACATTGAAACGTACGAATGACGGGCAAAAGCAGTGAGATTTTCTAGGTTGTCAAATCCAGGTCCGCCAGGAATTTTCGTACATCAGAAGTGTCTAGTTGTCACGGAATGAAAGGTGCATTTGGACCGAGTGTAATTTGGAATTCCACGATGGGCAGTCCTTCTATTCCTCGGGTAGTAAGAGCCAGAAGAGTGTCATTATTAGCAGTCATCTGCATCGCATCGACCAAAATACTACGGTACGCAGCGAAATCCCGTTGCGGGTGCTGACCTTGAAACACGAATTGCGTCTGAAAGGTTTCCCAGGTGAATTTTTCTTGAGAGTATTGAAACGTTTCGCCTTCTGTCGAGACAGAGTCTGGAGCCTAGCGGTCGAACTAATTAAGTCCGCGATGTGAGCACACAGCGGCGGCTGGAGGCTAGGCTCATCTATTTGGACAGGGTCCTGTTGACTTTTTTATTTCGGCCTCAATGGTGGTTTAGGCCTGGCATAGTTATGTTCAGACCACAGGTAACTGTTTGAAGGGGCTGTTTGGACTGGCGGAAGGTACTACGTCAATAGGTAGGCTGTATGTAGTGCCTTTAGCAGGCGAAGTATGAGTATAGATAACAACAATTTTAAGTAACCTTTTTTGCTAGCAGTTTGTTAACTTTTTTCCCTCAGGGCTAGGGGAAGGTGTGGTGTGGTGTGCAGTCCGGTTAGGACTATGAACCTTTATCGACAAGACAACTGATGGTCAAAGTACTTATACTTCTGTGACGAGTAACAACTCCTCTTTCAAGACCGACGCGATGCAGTATCGGCATTTCCGGGGATGTCGATACGTAGCAGCGCGGAGGCGGGTGAGTGGTGGAAGGGAACATCAGGGTATGAACGGTGGGAAACCCCCTGAAGATGAATTCGTGGTGGCAGTCGAAACGCATCAGGGAACCAATTCTGATGAGTTTTAATCTAGGTTGTTTGGCCGGACGTCCGGGACCCCTGGGTTGTCCGACCGGACGTCTTGTCGGACGTTGGACGGTCTCGGACCGGACAAGGGTTGTCCGACCTAGCGCAAAAAAAAAAAAAAAAAAAAAAAAAAAAAAAAAAAAAAAAGTTTTTTTTTTTGAAAAAAATCATGTGACTTCTACCTTGCATAAGGTGTATGCCACCAAAATTTTGGCTCATTTGAGCCAGTAGAAAAAAAGATAAACATCTTCAAAGTTTCTAATCCCCACCTATACCCCTCCTATCCCCACCAAAACTCCTCGTACCCCCCCCCTCCCACCCCAAATAGCACCCTATCACCAAATGCTCAGAAAATTCTGAAATTTTTTATGGGGGGTCTCAATGGCATGC